TTACTAGCAAACGGTGCCCTAGAACCGAGGAGAGCATCTTCAGAGTAGTCCAAAGAGAAGGAGAGTCCATCCGGGGCTACATCAAGCGGTTCAATGATGCATGCTTGTAGATACCGTGCCTGGACCCCGCGGTGCAGCTCGCGGTAGTTAACCAACCCGTGACCGTGGCTGAATTCCTCAAGCTCGCAGACAAATTCATGAGAACAGAGGAGGAGATCAACCAAAGGACTGAAAGCGGAATCGAGAAAAGGAAGAGGGAAGGCAAGCCCCCCAACCTAGATGACAGAAGAAGGAAAGACCCAGCTCGGGAGACGAAGCCAAGCCAGCCGTTCCGAGCTCCCTTAGCATCTCGGACGGACTACACACTCTTAAATTCGAAGCGGGCCAAGATCTTAATGACGATCAAAGACGCCCCGTATGTGAAGTGGCCACCTCGTCTGAAGGGAAACCCGAGCGAGAGGAATAAAAACTTGTATTGTAGTTTCCATATGGATCACGGTCATAGCACCGAACATTGTAATAATCTCCACGATGAGATAGAGGAACTTATCCGTCGTGGATATCTGCGAAATTTTGTACAGCACAATAATAATAATAATAGTAATAAGCCAAGTTGGCAGGGAGAGCACAACAAAGATGCTCCTGAGTCCAGCAACCGGCCAGCAGAACCACAGAAGCAGCCCCCGGAGGAAAGACCAGTTCGGGGAACAATTCACGTGATCGTTGGAGGATCGATCGTGGCAGGGTGCACCTCGGCAGCAGCTCGCACGTCAACCCGGGAGGCCGCCAGAGAAGAACAAAATCCCCCAAAGCGCCCTAGGAGGGAAGACCCCATATTCTTCACCGAGGACGATGCGCGCAGGGTCCACTACCCCCACGACGACGCACTTGTCATAAAGATGAAGATCAACAACTTCGAAGTCCGACGGGTACTCATTGACTCCGGCAGTTCGGTAGACATCCTCTTTAAAGCGGCCTTCGACAAGCTTCAGTTCCGAGAGAGTGACTTGAAGCCCGTGAACACCCCGCTGGTCGACTTCAGCAGAGAAGAGGTCAGGCCCTTGGGAAAAGTCACAGTACCTGTGAAAGTCGGCACGTGGCCTAGCACGGTAAGACTTAGTCACGATTTCTTGGTGGTCGCGACCCCCTCCCCCTACAATGCCATAGTAGGTCGGCCGATCACTCACACTTTAAAAGCTGTGGTGTCCACTTACTATTTGGCCATGAAGTTCCCAACGGACTTCGGCATCGGGGTAGTGCGGGGTGACCAACTCGAGTCCCGCAAATGCTACGTTGCCGCCCTCAAGGGAAAGGCCAAGGTAACCAGCGACCTACGGAACAAAACGAGGAGCGAGCTGCACCAACAGAGGAAACTGTTCTCATCTCTGTCTCGGCAGGGGACCCCGCCAGATTACTTCAGGTCGGAGCATCCCTTGAAGAACCCCTGCGATCCGAACTGGTACGCTTCTTACTCAGTAACTTAGATGTTTTCGCTTGGTCCGCGGCAGAAATGCCCGACATAAACCCTATGCTTATAACTCACAAGCTCAATATTGACCCTGTAGTCAGACTCATTAGACAGAAAAAACGCAACCTAGCCCCAGAACGTTGGAGGGCGGTCGATGAGGAGGTCGAGAAGCTCCTCGCAGCAGACTTCATAAGGGAAGTTCATTACCCGAGCTGGGTAGCCAACCCAGTTCTGGTAAAAAAGGAAAACGGCAAGTGGCGCATGTGCGTCGACTACACCGACCTGAACCGAGCTTGCCCGAAAGATTGCTTCCCCCTCCCTAGGATCGACCGCCTAGTGGACGCGACCTCGGGACACGAGTTGCTAAGCTTCCTGGATGCCTACTCGGGCTACAACCAAATCATGATGGACCCGTCCGACGAGGAAAAAACCAGCTTCATAACCGAGTTAGGCCTGTACTGCTACAAGGTTATGCCCTTCGGACTGAAAAATGTTGGGGCGACCTTCCAAAGGCTCGTGAACAAACTGTTTCAGCCCTTAATTGGCACGAAGATAGAATGTTATGTAGACGACATGGTCGTCAAGACACAATGTTATGCAAATCTTGCATTCTGTCTTCCAAATTCTGCGTCAATTTAGCATGAAACTAAACCTAAACAAGTGTCTTCGGTGTCACCTCGGGTAAGTTCCTAGGGTACATCGTCAATCGGCGCGGTATTGAGGCCAACCCGGACAAAATAAAGGCCATCCTAGATATGAGACCACCCCGAAAAGTAAAAGAAGTTCAGAGGCTAAACGGCAGGATAGCCGCTCTTAGTCGTTTCATGTCTAAGTCAGCAGACCGTTGCCTACTCTTCTTCAAGGCCATAAAAGGCAAAGGGTTCGGGTGGAACCCGAAATGCCAGTTCGCATTTGACGAGCTCAAGGGATACCTTGCCAGCATCTCAGTGTTGACCCGACCCGAAAAGGGCGATGTTTTAGAACTGTACCTCTCGGTAAGCAACGAAGTGGTCAGTTCGATGCTGGTAAAGGAAGCAGATCGGGTCCAACGACCCATCTACTATGTTAGTAAAATATTGCAGGGAGTAGAGACAAGATATCCAGAAATAGAAAAGATAGTCTATGTGCTTGTCATTGCGGCCCGCAAACTTCGCCCATATTTCCAAGCTCATACCATCACTGTCCTCACCGACAAACCCCTGAGGCAAGTATTACTCAGGCCCGAGGTCTCTGGATGATTGACAAAGTGGGCCATCGAACTCAGTGAGTACGACCTCCAGTACAAGCCTCGAACCGCCATCAAAGCCCAAGCCTTGGTAGATTTCGTTGCAGAATACACGTTCAGCTCCGAGGACCTTAGCCCAGTTGAGCACAAGGCTCCCAATTCGGGTGAGCTCGGTGCTCCCAGGCCGGCTGAGTCCGAGCCCCGTGAGGTCGCACCCAGTTCGGTATCTCTCCTGGTTAGGCCAAGCGCGAACTGGGATGAAGAGCCCTAGATCCTTCACGTAGATGGCTCCTCAAATCAGCAAGGCAGCGGAGTCGGTGTAGTTCTCTGCGGTCCGAGTGGCACGAAACTGGAGTACGCACTACGCTTTGAGTTCGAGGCATCCAATAATGAGGCAGAATACGAGGCGTTGATAGCCGAGCTAGCCCTAGCGCAAGAAGTAAAGGCAAAACACAGTTATCTGCAACGATTCCCAGCTCGTGGTCAACCAAGTTACAGGGGAATATGAAGCCCGCGAGCCAGCTATGATCGCCTACTTGGCAAAGGTGAAAGAGGCACTGCTTAGCTTCCAGTCACACTTCATCAAGCAAATCCCGAGGTCAGAGAACACTGAGGCCGATGCCCTATCCCGGCTAGCCAGCACCAGTGACAACACCATGAGAACTGTGTACATAGAAGAGTTACCTCGGTGTAGCATTCTCCGGGGGGCAGAGGAGGTCGCTCCTGTCGCCCAAGCATAACCGAGCTGGATTGATCCACTCGCGAGCTTCCTGCTACATGGAACCCTCCTCGAAGAACGCAACGCCGCCAAGAGGGTAGAGCGTCAGGCAGCCAAGTACATCATGATAGACGGACGGCTATACCGAAGATCCTACACGCTCCCCTACCTGCGTTGTTTGTGACCTCCCGAAGCCGAGCTCATACTCCGCGACATTCATGAAGGCCTATGTGGCGGACACTTGGGGGGCAGGGCCGATGCTCAGAAGGCACTACGACAGGGGTACTATTGGCCAACAATGAAAGCAGACGTCGTCGGGCTAATCAGGAAATGCGAGAAGTGCCAAAAGCACGCCAATATTCACCATCAGCCCGCCGCCGACCTCAAGTACCTCACCAGCCCATGGCCCTTCGCACAATGGGGTATCGACCTACTCGGACCATTCCCGCCAGCAACAGGAGGAAGGAAGTTCCTAGTAGTGGCAGTAGACTACTTCACCAAAGGGTTGAAGTTGAAACTCTCGTAACCATCACAACTCGAAACGTCCAGAACTTCTTCTGGAAGAACATAGTATGCTGCTTCGGGCTACCTCGGGTGCTGATTTCCAACAACGGCAAGCAGTTTGAAGACATCAAATTCCAAGAGTGGTGCCAAGGCATGGGAATCCGACAAAACTTCACGTCGGTTGCGCACCCACAAGCAAACAGTCAGGCAGAAGTCACGAACAGAGCTATCCTTCGCGGACTAAAGGCCAAGCTAGACCGAGCTAAAGGGTTATGGGCAGACGAGCTACCCAGCGTCCTATGGGCATACCGAACTACAGAGAAGACTGCCACTGGAGAAACTTCCTTCAACCTCACCTACGGCACGGAGGCAGTCATCCCAGCTGAAATCGAAATCCCCTCACTTCGGTTGGAAGCATACAACAATACTAATAACGACGAGTTACGTACCAACCTCGACCTACTTGACGAGGTGAGGGACCTCCATACATCAGAACCGCAGCATACCAGCAAAGGGTAGCTCGGTACTACAACGCCAGAGTTAAGAAACAAAACTTTCGCGTCGGCGACCTGGTCCTCCGCAAAATCATGGTACCTGAACCCAGTGTCAACAAACTCGGGCCGAACTGGGAAGGACCCTACCGAGTGAAGAGAGTACTCGGGGGAGCATACGAGCTCGAGACCCTAAAAGGTAAACAGATACCCCGGGCATGGAACATCGTCAACTTAAGACGATTTTACCTATAAATTATCAAAATAAGCAGGCCATGAGCCACTACCAGAGCCTAAGGGCCAGAATGCCGAGCTAGCAAAGACCTCGGCACCTTAACGCCCAGAATGTCGAGCTAACAAGGACCTCGGCACCTTAACGCCCAGAATGTCGAGCTAACAAGGACCTCGGCACATAGCCTTACTATGGATCCCGAGGTGCATAGCCCAGGGCCCAATTCAGCCTGTTAACTAACTCGGGCGAAGAACAAATCGAGCACGTAGCCTTACTATGTTAACTCGCCTCGGGGCTTAAGTCTAGCAGCTCGAGTATATAGTCACTTCAGCAAAAGGAGTATTTGCACAACACTTTTGAACAAAAAAAATACTTCATTGCTAAACGTTTTCTTTATAGTGTTTAAAAAAGAAAAAGCAAAAACAAACACAAACGAACTCACAAGCCCGGAGGCACATCTTCCTCACCTTCAGAAGGGACTTCGATAATACCCGAAGGTCCCGCTTCATCTTCGGAATCCGGGTCGTCATCAGCTGCGGCAGCCATCTCCTGAGTGATGTGCGAAGTGGTTATGGCACTAATATCGAGCTCAGGGTACGTGTTCCTTATCATCCATCGGCTCAACTTGAAACCCCATCTATACGATCCCACCATCATATCGTCGAAACGCGATGAAGCAATGTAGTCCTCGATGATTTTCACCTTCGCCTCCTCGACAACCTGAGAAAAGATCCGAGTCTTCTCCCGAATATCTTCCTGAAGGTACTCGACCTGATGCTTCAGGTCCAACTTCAGGTCGGCCATATGTCTCACCACCATTCCTAAGGCCTCTTTATCCCTCTGAGACCTCGATAGCTCGGCCCGCGCAGCACAGGAAGTCGCCTCAGCAGCTTCTACCCGTTTTAAGCCCCTCTCCGCCTGGATCGCCAAAGCATGGATAGAGGAGTTCACCTGCCAGGACGAGGACAAGTCAGCTCGATAAAAAAAAAAAAAAAACCACTCCGACTTACCACCATGGCGTGAGTTGCAGCTCGAGCACCTATGAGATTGGTAGGGAGATCAGCCCACTGCACGATCTCCTCAGGACAAGTGGCGGCCTTGCTTTTTCGGAGAGCGTAGCCCGGCGTCACAATGCTCCCAATCTCATCGTGGCTCCCCGAGCCTGAAGGCCCAGCCCGGGTATAGGTAGTGTTGGCATAGGGAGCCCCTACCGCTTCCTGGACTGGAAGGGGCACCTCGGGCTCCGCCACCTGGGAAGGATCGGCATGAACTCGCTTAGCAGCTCACTTCCTCCGTTTCATGCCACTGAACAGACTCGCACCTCAAGTCTTCTCGGCTTCCATTGCGCCTGCAAAAAAGGAGCCCGATGTCAAAAAACGAACAAAAACAGAAACAAAATTACCTTTATCTGAGCAAGAAACCTACCCGAACTCAGACCGGCCTGAATGAGTTTATCCTCCGTCAGATAGGCTTCACATTTTAGCCCAAGACGGGCCCAGTCCCGGAGGCCCTTCACTGTATCTTCATCTAAAATGACACCGGGGTCAGGAGCGGCCAAACCCCACTTAGTAGGAAACGGCCACCCCGTAGCACTTCAAACCACGAAGTAGTCCCGCTTCCATGTTGGGACCTTATTCGGAAGATCGTGTAAGAGCTTGAAGCTCGGGCGAGGTGACAAGTAGTACGCACTCCTATGCCCGGGCAGGGGACCCGCTTGTTTCTTAAGCATAAGGATAGCAGAAAAAATTTCCAAGTCTAAAGGAAGGCAGTGTTCACAACACAGGGAGATGGTCCCGACAAGGTTACGGATAGAATTTGGGTGAAGCTGACCTATAGTGACGCCGAAGTGGTTCATGACTTCAACGATAAGAGGATGGAAGGGAAGGCGCAGCCCGGCAACAAGCTGCTCCCGAAATATCACGATCTCATCCGGATCGTGCTCCCAAGGAAAGTCGCTCGAGGGTAAAAAGTAAGTATACTCCCCGGGCAGGTTGTACTGGACGATAAGGAACCAAAGCCTTTCGGACGTCATAGTGGAGGGTCCAAACTTGTCTGGCACCTGACCTCGGCGGGAGGTGGATGCCAAACTACCCGAGGTGACTCGGCCTACGGGCTCAAACTCAAGTTCTTCCTTGAGCTCTACCTCAGGCCCCGCCTCGGACTCACTAAGGCTGTCGGAGGCAGCAGCTCGATTTGTAGAACCAGCGTCTGACCCCCCCAGAAGACTATTCGTGCTACTAAAACTAGACATCGAAGCAAAGAGGGCTGAGGACTCACCAGGAAAAGCTACCGAACTACGAACGAGTGACACGAGCTGACAGGCTTAGACGCGAGCTCAAGAAACAAATGTTGAAGGATAACAGAGGAAAGTTACTGGGGTCCCCCCACTATTTAAAGCCACTGTACCCACGCATCAACGGCCAAGATCGAAACCATCCAACGGCTCCCCGAAAAGTCAGTTGCGCACTCCCCGAAGAAAAGACACTTTGGCACGCACGTTCGAAAATTTGAAATTGTTTGGCACGCGCGTTCAAAAATTTTGAAAATTTGAAAATCGTTTGCGCACACGAACCACACGCAGCTCAGGACTCCTGCTCGAGCCAAGCCAACCCCGGTTGAGCCGATAACACAAGCAGACCGGACCAGAAAAGTTCCTGATCAAGGCCAAAATGTCCCGAGGCAAATCCAGTTGTAATCCCGTGAACTCCCCACGCCGGGTCAAGACCCTGAGCATGGGGAGTGGGGGGCAATTGATGGAGGAAGATTTGACCCGACCCCTTGGCCATGCAACACGTGGAAGCAACCGAGAGTGACCTGGCAGAAGCGCCAGTTCGGCACGACAGCAGGCCCACAACCCGAGTTCCAAACAAAAGAGTCCCGAGCTCCCTCAAGGAGGAACCAACCCGAGCTCTGGAGAAAAGTATCCCGAGCTCCCCCAAAAGAATGGAACTTGCAATCCGTTACCTGAGCTAAAGAGTCCCGAGCTCCCCAAGGAGGAACCCGAGCTCTTCGGGACCTGAGCCTTACAAAGGACACATAGGGCAAGAACCCGAAGTGACCTCCCAAAGGCAGTTCGGGCCATACTTCTATCCGAACTCAAGACTTCACCTCGCACACCACTTCGGCTCCAAGTCGCCTAACTGAACAACCGTACCTGACGCCCAGGAGACCGTACACGGAGACGACGCATCTGACTGATTAGGGGACTGACACATGACAGTCGCCATCCCAGACGGACAGAGGCGGCCCTGGCAACTGGCAGTGGAAGCTATGACACCCGAACTGACAATTGGCAGAAGAGATGACACCCGTACGGACCGGATTGCGCATCATCAATAATAAAAACTAAATATATAAAATAGATCATTTAATGATACAAATATAATAAAAATAGTAACATAATTGTAAATAAATTGTAAAAATAATATAAAATAAAATTGCAAAATATAAAGAAATCATATAATATTATGAACAAAATAATATAATATGAAAAATAAATCTAATCAATAAATATATCAATATGAAAATAATATAAAAAAGGTAAAGCAGAAAAAAATAAATATAAATATAACAAAATATAGATAAATAAAACAATAATGATAATAAAAATAAATATATAAAATAGATCATTTATGATAAAAAATAATAAAAATAGTAAAAATTATTTAAAAGACATCAATAATTAATAAAATAACATAGAAAGAGAGAAAGTAGTAAAAATTTATTAATATAATAGTAAAAAATACCATAAAAATAATAAATAGTATAAAATGAAATGAAAAAATAAAGACAAAATAGCCAAAATTATTATAATTATAATAAAATGTAAAACATATGACAATAATGCCTATAAAAATAAAAAATATAAAGAAATTCCATAATATTATTAAAAAAATAATATATAATGGAAAAATAAATATGATAAATAGATTTCTAAATATAAAAATAATCTAAAAAGGTAAAACAATAAAAATGTAAAAAATAACATTTATAAAATAATAGTAATGAGAATTAATAACATAAAAAACAGCATATAATATTAATAATATATAAAAAATTAAATAAATGGTAATAATAATAATAATAATAATAATAATAATAATAATAATAATAATAATGATGATGATGATGATGATGATGATGATAAGTAAAAATATTTAAAATATTTTCAATAATATGATTAAAAATATCAAGAAAAGTAAATTATTATTAAAAAGAAGAATAAATTTGCACCAACCCAACTATTGGAGTTATCATTTGTTAATTTATATAAGTTATGGAGGTGGTAACATATTGCAATATTTTTCACCCTCAATCCTGCTAAGCATCCATTCATGTATGTATAGAAATGCTCAACCTCCTCTTTTGAAATAATATAAGAAAGTATATCAATATAATAAAAAAATAGGGGTTTTAACCGTTCAATCCACCCATAGGGTGAAGTTAGGATTTCTAGGAGTGGAATGAATAATGCCCGTGGATTGATGCCAAATTCATGGGCAAGATGTGGTTTATTGGGGGGGCTATTAGTAGACAAGGAGTGGGTTGCAATTCAATTTTCTAAGGGGGATTATAGTCCAAAAATCCCTAAAAAATAAAGATAGAAAACATAACATTCATAAGATAATACAACACCATAAACAAAGAAAGCATATCATCTTATGGAAAATAACTTTGTATAGCATCCTAATCAAATCTCAAATCAACCATGGAACAATGTTTGTGCTATTTCTTCACGTAATGCATGCATGAAGTTTTGATCTATTTGAATTCCCCATCTCCTCCATCACCTTCATCAATGTCCATGTCATCAGCTCCATTGTTACCTTGGACATCATGCCACTCATACTCTTGGAATAATTCATCATCAATGGCTTATTTTCTAAGAAAAATGTGTATCATAAAGCAGGTAATGGCAATATCCCATTAGACACTTGGTGGAAAAGGTGTCATCCTCTTTAGAATGGCAAAACGTGCTTTCAAAACCCCAAATTCCCTCTTAGTAACATTCATAAGCTTTGCATAAGATTGGTTAAACACTTCTTCTTTTATCCTAGCACAAGCACGAGAAAATTTGCTATCCAATACCATACATTACGATATAGGGTCATAGAGAAACATGTGTGCTTATATGTAGCATCACAAAGATAATAGTTACCTATACAAAAAAAAGGAAAGAATTAAAAACACAAAACTTATAAGTATGCTATGTTGTGTTTTATGGTGTCACTTTTCTAATTCATTTTCATTTCTTACGAGGAGGGAATGGGAAATTGTTATTTGGGTTGTATGCAACTTGATTAAACACTCATGAATCATGTGCAGACCCTTCCCATCCAACAAATACAAAGGTGAACACCATGTTAAAGTCACACACTGCCAATCCATTATGGTAGCAATCTTTTCCTCCTCACCCCCTATATGGCATTTGCTTTATGGGGGAACAACAACATAGACAAGAGTACCATAAAGGGCATCAATCACTCCCTAGCAAAGGTAATGAACTATAGTTAATATAACATCACCAAGATACTTAGGGTTTAACAACTTATTGATAACTTTTTACCTTAAATATGTGTCGTAGCCTTTTATGGTGGCCTGGAATACCTAGGTTAAGGTTCCAAGTTGTTGGAACAATCATCTCTTGAGCAAATAACGAGCAAATAACATCATAGCTTCCAACACTTCATGAAAATACTTATGGTCTTATGGACAGTATCAAGAGAGCGTTGGAATCTACACGTGATGACGGAGAATCTTCATTGTGATTCACACAAATGAGGAACATAGTCATTTTTTCTTCGACCAAGATAAAACGACTATCTTTTAACCACCCCCTCTCACGAAAATGATAGCAAAGATGGACATATGCATCCACAAACATTCTCATAAGGTCTTTCGTTTGTCAATCTCTCCCTATCAATATTTTTTTTTCTTTGTATGTATGCACTCCCACTGAGAGCAAATTCATTATTCGGTAAACTCCAGATTGGGTTTTGTTGTTTCATTTGTTGTAACAATAATACTAAAAGAAGGACCAATAACATTTCCTCCATTTCATTTATCAACATTTGGCTTTATAAAATGCATGTATATTATATATATTAAACACAAGCCATCAAATAACAATAATTCCCAAAGAACAACCATTCCTAAATAATAAGCCATCAATAAATTGAAACACAAATAAAGGTCTTGGCATGTCAACAATCATACCTAAAACAAAAATCAAACAAATTCCAACATGTCACCATCCAAATTAGAATAACAACCAAAGTTCTAACAATCATCCTAAAAAAAAAAAAAAAAAAGACAATCATAATTCCAGCATGTCACCATCCAAAAAACAACCACTATTCTTATCCCCATCTCTCTTTAGAGAGCAATTCTAACCACATAGTCATTGCCAGCTCATTTGTTGTCTTACACCACCTCATCCATTCCTTATGAGTTTCTATACTAGCAGAAAATAGTAGAGATTCCTTGCAATAGAGTGGATTAGAACAATTCCTTCCAATTTCATCATGCATTCACTCACAGAATGCCCACTGTGTCTCGTTTCTATCATGTCAAGGACCCAGATATTTGCTCCATTATATCTTCTTGATTTTTCTTTGGTTTCTTCTTGGGGGGGGGGGGGGGGGTTCTATGTGTAAAGCATCTTAGATGGTTGTTGATTATGTTGTGTTAAAGGTGACATCTCTTCACCAAGAAAAGGGGGATTGCCTTCTAATTCGTGACCATTTGTAGAAGAAGAAACACAATTTTAGTAGCTTTTTTCAATATTGAGCATGGACCTCTTGTTGGTTGGACCCCACCCCACTTCCCCTGCTACACAAGCTCCATCGTATAATGCTTTGAAATTCCAGACCTTAGTTGCTAAAAACAGCACCTTTTGGATGCGTCTAATTTCAAACAAAATGATTGTTACAAAACCACCCATTGTCATAATAATAAGATAATGCATATAATTTATACTATATTTTGGATTTTACTTTGATGTATTCTTCCCACTGGTCGTTGGTCCAATTCATTGTTCCACTTACTGGGTCAAATCCACTCCCAATAGTGTTAATCATTGAAACTCATGCTTGGTATTTTAAACTGATGTAATCATAACGATTCTTGAATTGTTTCTGTCGAAAATGTATGTTAAATTCATTCTTTATTGCTTCCTCTATGACAGTCCAAGATTCGTTCTTTAAAGACCCTCCAGTCTTCCAACTCTGTTAACCTCACTAATGCAAGCATCAAGAAAAAATTTCACTAGTTTTGGGTCTTTCCAAGATGCTCTACCTGGTTCCTTTGGTTCCATCCTAGCATTATAATAGTCACAGTAAGTAAATAAATAAATGGAGAATATAATATTTGTTCCTAGAGCTAAAACAACACATTCATGCAACTAAAAATTCAAAATGCATCCATAGGCCATAGCATCAAGGTCAACTATCATGAATTTCAATTAAAACTTCAAATTGACATAAAATACAACTATTCAATGATTTTACAAGGGTAATACTTGAAGCAAGTTAACATAAAATACAACTATTCAATTATTTTACAATGGTTTGACCTCTAGTAGCTGTTAATTTACCATGCACACATCAAAACCTTCTAACCAGATAGAATTTGATTCACATGCACACACCAAAAACCTTTAACAATTTAGAATTTGATTCATATGCACACACCAAAAACTTCTAATAATATAGAATTTGATCCACCACTGTGTTTTTTATATTCAACACCCTTTACCTATGGATTTTTTGACTGATCAAGAATCATGGTGAGTCTTTATGTTTTGATTGTTTCTTGCATAAGTACACAATTTACTTGGTAATCAAGGGTTCATTACAATCTAATTTTATATAAATGATTTTCTCAGTTTATATATACGGTTTGCACCACAATTGTTTACATGATAAAAGAATCTCACAAGTAGCCAAATACATGTGCTTCACACGGGGGTACTAAAGAGGAGCACAATCAAGAAGAGACTTTATCGGATTGCTAGTCTTGATTGGAATTTCACACTTTCAAGTGGCTGAAAAGAGAGAAAGATAATATATAAAAGTTTACACTCATCTGAAACTATAAGAAAGTTTTAGATATAAAATGATATTTCGTCAAGTTATTTCCCTCTTCTTACAAGGAAAAAAAAAAACTCTAATTGCTAAATAGTGCCCATTGAATTTAAACTAATTTCTTTAAGAGTATGTAGTTTAAGGTCGCAATAGTGCCCCCATCTGTGTCAATGAACTGCTGCTCTGGCCCTTAACTCAAAATTTAAGAATGTGTTATGGACTCAATAAAAGTAAAAACTAATGATATTGAGTGTTTCAAATTCACACTAAAGTTTTGTAGATGTTAGATTTTGGCTCACTTATGTTTTTCTCTCATCCACTACCATTGGTCATTTGGCCAGCCCTTACACTGCCAGCATTGAAATAATGAACATGTGTTTTAAATGTAAGGCAATGCCCAACGTGCAAAACCTTTTGACATACTCCTAAAAAACAACTAGTGCTCAAAAGAAATTACAAGGAAAAATCCAAAAATCAATCCCACATGTTAGAATTCTGAAAGACATTGTCAACACACATGCATGCTTGTGTTTTCATGTGTATGCTACCTTCAACCTTAAAATTCCTAATAAGCTCTAACTGCATTATAAGATGAATGTTGTAGACATGCAAAGAGCTTAAAACAAGGGATTAAGATATTACAATTCCAATCATAACTCCAAAGTAATCTAACCAAATTCAACCCATTGACAACCTTTGATATCAGTAAACAAGTATTCTAATACCAATATATATATATATATATATAAATGGAAGGGGAAAGGAATCCCATGAAAGTGGAGGCCCCATGACAGATGTCCTCTGTTGCTCATTTGAAAAGTTTTATTGGAAAAGTATGGATTTTAATGAGCAACAGTATCCCCTTCCATAAAGCAATATTACAATGAAAGACAATGGGGTTTTGTTGAGAAGAAATAGGGGTGTTTGTTTCTTCTTGGGAATTTATAAATAATAGTATAATGAACAATGGGGAAGAAACATGATAATTTGTAAATAACATTAAAACAAACAATGGAAAAGAAAGGCAATGATTTATAAATAAAGCAGTAAAGCAAACTGAGAAATTTCTGAAAAGAAACAAAAGCGCTGTTAAATAATAGTATAATGAAAGACAATAATATAACGAACAAAATGATAAACACACCTTTGTATAAGAAATCCACCGAGCGTTGCTTTGATTGATCTGCAATGGAGGTATTTGCAAGACACCGGTGAAACAATGAAAAAAAGAGGGGTTGGAAGAATGATGTAAGAAGATTGGTATAGTGTAATAAATAACCCACCTCTTTCTTTTTTCAAGCTTGAATGCTGATGGAGTTCGCTGGTTGTCGCTGAGTTTAGCAATGGAGGAACAATAGTGAAAATCCAAAAAGGGTTTTAAGGTTGTATTGAGAATGTGGAGTAGTTTTTGATTTTTCAAAATATTAATGGGAAAACATCGGAAATCCTATTTCATGCTCTACCTCAGAACACACTCAGAGGTAGCTCACCATCTGAACAAATCGGAGGTATATTTAGTGTTCGGTGGCTCCATTCGGAGGTGCAGCCGAACGACCACCGAGCGCTGAAAAGCGAGCAAAAATTTTTTTCATAATTTTATTCACTAAAAACAAGCAATAAGTTTTTCAGTTCAGCAACTTCAGCTCAACCTTTTGGGCAATCGAGTGAGCAACACTATTTACAGGACTACGAATATAACTAAATGAAATAGAGTCAAAAGAAGATAAAAATGACTTAATCAAATCTAGTTGAGCTGCACAACACAAAGGAAGCAACTGATCATCCTCATGGAGAGTAGTGATTACATTTTGAGAGTCCGAGTTCAACAGCAACAACCAACCTTGATGCTTAGCAAAAGATAGTGTTGAATACACAATACCTAATTCAGCTTTTGTTCTTAATCATACCCAAAAAGCTACCTATTTATTGCAATAAATTTATCACCATTAAAAACAAAAAAGCCAAAGGTTCCTTGCACATCATTAGGAATACCTGCATTGCACTGAATGATTAAGTAGTTTAAGTCCCACTTGCCTTACTTGGGGACCTAATCTATTCTTTTCATTATCTAATTTAAAAGGAAACATCACTCTTGCAATTGGTAAAACAATCTGAGAAAACTGATTCAGAAGCCACTCACAAGAGCAATTTGTAAAAATGACCAAGTCGGGTCATGACCCAAATTGTGACCCTTAATAGTGGCCATAATCCAGGTCATTACAAATTTAAGAATAATCCCCACATTATCTTGTTGGAAATGAATTAGAGACCTCCCACAATCACCCCATAATTGTTGATGTGTGTTTAAATTTTAATTTCAATTTCAAGTTTAATTGAATAGTGGAGATGATTTAAGACAGGTGATGGGATTTGGAGAGATTTTCTCTCAACTAAATAAGGAAGTTCATTGATAGATGAATTGATCGAAAGGAAAGAAATAAATGGAAAGATTTTCCATTTATTCTAGCCAATCAGCTTATTCATATGGGAAATGTTCAAGAGAGGCCCCTATCACTAATCGTGAAAGCTCTAGATTGGTAACACAATAGAAGCAATGAATGAATTCCACACTATCATAGATAGCTAGGTTGGTTGTATTATATAAACTATAGAGTTCTACAAGAGTAGAAGTCTATACAAACATGGGAGACTGTACAAGTCATCTGTAATATGGTTACATGAGATAAGGATGATATGAGACAAAGATAAAGGAGATTTTAATTCGGTTGATACCCCCTCTTCAAGCTAAGCAATGGGAGTAGCTACCCAAAGCTTGTGCTGATGAACATCAAATTGAGAGAAACCAAATGGCTTGGTGAGGATATCGACTACTTGGTCTTAAGAAGAGATGCATCGAACACATAGGTGTTTCTTGAAGACTTGATCATGCACAAAGTGAACATCAATCTCTATATGCTTGGAGCGAGCGTGGAACATTGGATTAGAAGATAGATAGGCGGCACCAATATTGTCACACCAGATCGTAGAAGGATTAGAGAGAGGGAGACTGAGCCCTGAGAACAAAGAACAAAGCCAAAGTAACTCAGTAGTAGCAGAGGCCACGTTGTGATAGTCCACTTCAATGCTTTAACGTGAGACAGCAGTTTGCTTCTTATAGCACCATGAGACAAGGTTATCACCAAGGTAAATGCAAAACCAGTTTGAGATTTTCTATCATCAGGATTCCCAGCCTAATCAACGTTTGATAGCGGCCCAATGATCAGTGGTGGGAGAGTGCATGAACTAGCAAACAAGGTTGACAGTGTAGGAAATATCTAGCCTAGTAAATGATAAGTACTGCAAGGCTCCAACTGTTTGACGAAAGAGAATTGCATCAGGGAGTGTTGTGCCAGAAAATTTACTGAGAGAGGTGCCTATATCTGCAAGTGTACTAACATGTTTAAGCCCATCCAAATTAGTACAAGAGAGCATATTGGTAATGTACTCACGCCAAGAGAGAAATAAACCATTCTTGGAACCAGTGGCCTCAATACCAAGGAAGTGGACCTAATCATGGGCCGGGTATCTCAACAGCCCAGCCCTGTCTAACCTGGCCTGGCCTGGCTGCAATTAGGCTTGGACATATTATTAGGCCCGTGAGGCCAGGCTTGAGCCCAATTATTTAAGCCCGACTTAATTTTGGGCCGGGCTTGGGATTTTACAAAAAAGCTCGACCCAGCTCGACAATAATTTAAATACTAATATATATAGATATATATATATATATTAAAAATATAATAATATATTTTTTCTAACCCTAAGTTTCCTAACTCATTTGAATCAACAATCTTTCACTCTTCCTCATCCCTGTTTTGTTCGAACGAACTAAACTTCTTCCCTTTCACAGTGGCAACCGGCGGTAGTTTATGTATCTTCTATACTATATGCGGCAAGCTGGTGACGGTGTCTCTCTGAGCTCCGGCTCTAAGTAATTAGCATCCTCCCACCGTCCCCATTTCTCTGAGCTTTTGAGTCCAGACTCCAAAGTCCAAAGTAGCAACGTCCCTAGTGGTCAGCGACATCTATAGCAGCAAGTCAACAATCAACTTAAGCTCCGACTCCAAGTACTCAACGGCGTCCCAATTTCTTCGAGCTTTGGGTCCAAACTTCAGAGTAGAGGCATCCCCAACACTCCCCAACAATGGCTGACGACATCTACAGCAGCAAGCCAACAAGTAACAACCACTGAACTCCATCTCCAAACTCTCTCTCTGGTTCCCCAATGCCCGACCCTTCCTATAGCAAATCGGCAATCTTTGGATCTAAAATGTAACTGTCTCGAATCATCTCTCGGGCTTTGGGCTCGAGCTTGGGCCTCGGTCTTTTATCAGGGTTAGGCTTGGGCTTACGATTTAGGCCCGATGGTCGGATCGGGCCTCAATATATTGTGTTGATACCAAGTGAAAGCCCGGCCCAGCCCGACCCATGACTAATAGCTGTAGAAAAGGAACTAGTGAAAATAATATCATCAACATAGACAATGACGAAAACAAAGGCATTAAAGGAATGCACCACAAAGAAAGAGGAATTTGAAATAGCCCCCTTGAAGCCAATGAAGAGAAGGAATGAGCTCAACTTTTGGCACCAAGCGTGAGGGGCATGCTTTAACCCATACAATGATTTCTTCAAATTGCAAACATGAGTATGGAATGTAGGATTGATGAAGTCTAGGGGTTGATACATGAAAACATTCTCAGAGAGGTCACCATGAAGGAAGGAATTTTGGACATCAAGTTGCTTGATGGATCAATTGCGAGAGACAACAATGTTGAGAACAACCTAGACTATAGTTGGTTTCACAATGGGACTAAATGTTTCATCATAATCAAACCCATTTTGCTGATTGAAGCCTTTGAAAACAAGGTGTACCTTATAGCGCTCAATAGAGCCACTTGCATCCAAGTATATTAGAAGCAAAACAATGAGGAACCAATTCCCATGTATAATTACGATGAAGAACTGAAATCTCTTAGGCCATTGCAAACTACCAATGGGGGTACCGTGTGGCTTCTGTGAAGGTCAAAAGGCTTAGTAGGGTGAAGAGGGAAAGGCTGTTTAGTGGTTGTGTGAGCTTGGGACTGTAATATTTTAAGTCTGTGTTTGACGATACCAGCCTTGGAGCGGGTGGTCATAGGGTGGAAATTAGTGGGTGGGGGGGAGGTGATGGTGGGGAGTTCAATTCTAAAGGAGAGGAGGTGAAAGGCGAGGGACTAGGAGAAGACAAGGAGGGTGATAAAGTAGGTTGGTCATTGAAAATAATTGGGGAGGGAGGAGAGGTAGTAGCTAGGTTGTCGTAGGTGGATTGCAGAATAGGTGGTGGGCCAAGTTGAAGCAATAGCTGAGAAGAGGATTGAGACAAGAAAGGGGGAGATGGTTGGTTCATGAACATGTTGGCAACTTAGTCCTACAATCTAATTGACTCATGTGGTAGTTTGAAAACACATTGATAGTTGTGTCCATGAACATGTAAGGGTGAGCAAATGGGTAGGTTCTACCCGGAACCGAATGGAACCGACCTCGAACTGGCCTTGAATCAACCTTACCCAATTTATTACAAGGTAGGGTCTGGTTTCAAATTCTTGGAACCAACCCCCACCCAGGCCGGTTCCAAGGTCTAGGGGTTTACTCTACCCAAACCAACCCGATGAATCAGCCTTCGTTGTCCTTGGTAGAACTGACCTTGTTGTAACCTAACTCAGAACCAAAATTTCCTTGAAATAAACTCTATGATACTTTTGAGGATGTTAAGATTTGAACCCAAGCATTCATTGTTACAAAGGCCATGGTCTCATTTGACCATTGAGTTACTTAAGTGATTTTGATCATTTGTTTTCATTTTAATATTTGAATGGGTACAATAAGTAGTGTGAAAGGTAATATTTACAAATTTTAAATTTAATTTATAAGTTTTTAACCATGTAATGATAATCCACATATTAAGTTATCCAATTTATTCAATAAAGGTAATATAAGTTTTAAACTATATATTATATTTATTAAAGATCAAGTTTTTGAAAAACATGCATTTTTTGTGAAGGGGGAGAGTAAAGAAAGTACAGGTTTCATGGGTAGACCCTGGAACTGACCCTGAAACCACCAAGGCCAGAACCAACCTTTACAGTGTAGGTTTCATTTCCAAAAACTTGGAATAAGGGTCGGTTCCAGGTTCTACCAAGGAACCAAACAGAACTAGTCCATGTTCACCCCTATGAACATGTTTTGGAAGACTCTATAGGTAATAGTTTCATTACAACCGTGGAGGAACATAAGAACCCTGAAGCTCTCGAGGTGGTTTATGGGGTCTCCTATGTTGTTATAGGTCTCTATGTTTGGCATCTTGAAATTGAGCGAGAGTGGTTCATCTTGGATGTTTGTGATAAACGGAGGGTCCTTTGATAATTTCTGTCTGAAGTTGAGCTACGACCATCCTTCCTTGATCACTGAAATGCGAGATCGCATGTCTTTGAACTCTTTGTCGAAGTTTGGTTTTCAAATCCTAACCAAGTTAGTCCTAATCCTCAAGACTACCAATGTGAGGTTCTGATTGGACACCCCCTCGATGAA